AAATGTACGAAGTCGTCCATTACTATGTAAATTGGGTCGATTAAAAAAAAAGCTGAATATGTTTCTGTTGCCAAGGGTTTTTCACAAGTATAGTAGTTAGCAGAAAAGTTCACCAAACTATACATTTTACCTATTCAAAAACGTAAATGCAAATTCCACAAGGCTTGATCCAAATAGCCTTTTTATTGTCTAATAACTTGCAAGTACGAAAAAGACAGGACAGAAGTATATTTTGTCTATATGTTTTGTGTACGCACACTATTTAAAGTTGATCATGCATTCGTTCTAAAATAAAATTTTGACCAGATAAAAGTTAAAAGATGGCATAATTGGACAACCGCAATTGTTAAATCGCTTTGACGTCCGAAAAAAAAGATAATAATCAACACATGCATTGTAACTTTTAAAGCCAGTAAAACCCCTTTTTTTTTTTTGCTGAAGTTCTAGAACGTGCGATATCATAAAAATTGATTATCAAAACATAACGAAAACACAAGTAAAGAACGTTTAAGTATTCAATATAAATCAAAACACAAAGGTTATTCCTGATTAGTTTTTCGAATTATTTTATTTGGGCGTTGAGACCCTTTGGTGACCCCACAGTTTAAATGTCTATAATAAATACGTCGTGAGTTGTGGGCGTTACAGACGAACGTTCACATAATCTGACCCAGGCAATGGGATTTTTTAGCGCGCCAATCAATGGTCTCGGCTACACTGTTTTGCACATGATTCTAATTGCCACTGGACTATAAATAAATCAAAATTGAAATATTAATATACAATTCTTTCTAGTACTTAAACTGGATCCGCTTTTTTTTACGCTACACTCAATGGACAAAGTGAAGTAGTCAGCAGAGAACCAGCATATCTATAACTCTAGAATATGAATTAAATATTTTACGCTGAACATTAATTAAATAATAATCAATCCTTCTAGTACATCAAGGTTAGTTCGGTGCGCCTTACTGATAATTTGTTTTTAAAAACAAAGTGAAAGACCAGATAAAGGCTTGCTACGCGCAAATTCATTACAAAGTTTCAACAGTTAATAAGGATACAAATAAAATGAGTTATATAAACTACTTAGAATAAATCACCTGACGTCTCTTATTATTTTTTTGTAGTTTTTTTTATTGGAAGCTTTTAATAGTTTTACTAGATCCTACAATGTACAGAAGCTGCATGAGTATCACAGTGTGACAAAGTAGAACGTACATGTACGAATGTATATGAACGTCTGTAGTGAACCCAAAGCATGATGCAGATATCACACCATACATCACGAAACATAACGTACTGTTTAAATGATGTCCAGTCTGTGTTTTGTTACTTGTTTTCTGCTTTGTATCGATCTGATGAATTGAGCCCTTTTCAGCTGATTTTTATAGTTTGTTCACATGTTGTGCTGTTACACGTCCAGGTTAGTAGGAGAGTTGGGCGACCGCAAACATGTTTAATCTTGCCACATTCTTTATGTGCCTGTCCCAAGTCAGGATCCTTTAGTTCAGTGGTTGTCGTTGGTTTATGTATATCATATTTGTTTTTTGGTAAATTGGTTTGTTATAAATGTGGCCGTTCTTTTTCTCATTCAAATTGTTTCCTATTTTTTTTTGTATGGCCTTTTATAGCCTACTTTACGGTATGGATTTTTCTCATTGTTGAAGGCCGTACGGTTGCCTATAATTGCTCACATCTACGTCATTCGAACTTTGGTGGATAGTTGTCTCATTGGCAATCGTACCACATCTCCTTATTTTTATATCACACCATACATCACGAAACAATTCATATTGTTAAACATGACATTGATTTTTCCTGCTTCTTTAGCATCATGATTACAAGTCGATCCGTTATCTTTTAATATAGTTTACACTGGTTTTGTTTGGACGGAAAAACAAAGAACGGTAAAATTTAACCTTTTTGCATTATTTCTTTTTTTGACAGCAAAATATCAAAACAATAACGGATAGATTGATGATGTTGTTTCCTTTGCTAGTAATATTCATTGAGTACTCACACTCAACAAAATCACATTTCATATATCTCTGTTAACTTTTTATTTATGATACTACAGTAGCAAGGAGGTCTGCAGCGTATTTAGATCAACTTAAAATAGGAACTTTGACAAACTCGACGATGTCAGTTTTCCTATTTTTAACTCCCCTTTCTATTATAGTATTATCATACTATATACTGCAGCTTATTAGATTTCAGTTTATAAGATATGCTAGAAATACTCTATAACGAACAAATACTGCAACACTCTCCAACAATATAGTTAAATCAAATATCGAATACGAATTCCAATGAGGTTGAATCATTGCCTACATGACTTTTTTGTATATTAATGTTTTGAGCTAATTTTGACAGTATTGAACCAATATTCCGCTTTAATAAATATCTGAAACAAACAGAAATAATATTTGATTGTTTTGTCTAAATGGTATGGTAGCTAATTGCCTCTTTAAGCGTTAAAGTGTTTTCGTTCCATTTTTTGAACGCACGCAACTGATCGTAACATATTTTACCATCAATTTAACAATCAACTTTTTAAACATCAAAACAAAATTGAATGTAAATGAACGTACAATAGTGTCAAATATTAAATTTACTTGAGTTCGGATAACTAGGTCGGGACATTTGCAAACGTAAAAACAGATTATATTATGTCCACACAAATAAACTACTTGAATAGCAATTTTCCCACCAATAATTGTTTTCATTCTTATTCAATGTGTAGTCAGCGTGTCCCATCTCTTCAATCACTCATCTCTATAATAAATTTGATATATATTATCTTACGTATTGTTGATTTCGAAATGTGTTATCGGCTTCGAAGATCAGAAGAATAAAAAAGAATATTTACTAAATTTCGAAATGACATGAAGTAATTATTTCACTTCGTCATGATTAAAAGTACAATGAACCTCCATAAAATGTATGATGTTATATAAATATATATATATATACAATGCAAACTGAATGGGATTTGAAATATTTTGTTTCAAAAATTGGTTTTAGTGTGCCTTGTTTCGACATAAACTAATGGCTTATTAGATTTACTTTACAAATAATAATCTTTATTAACGACATGATTATAAGATGATGTAGGGGAATCCATGAATGGGGCAACAACCCAGCAACATAAAAACAAAATACATGTAAAGGTTAACTTACGAGATTAAACAGAATATCAGTGTCTTTGGTATATATCAGGTACCCAAGAAGCATTTCTGTTCCACTGGTTGCACCAGTCGTGTTTTTATATGACAAAAAAAAAATAAAGCTGGTAAAAGAACGCATTTGATGATAGTTATAAAAGAGAAAGAAAAGAAAAACGGCTGCAAAAAAAGGAATATAATCGTGGTCATCTCTTACGCAGATTTTCTAAAAAGTTAAACCAAATCATTTATCATTGAGAACCCTTGGTTTAGAAGCTTCCCGGCATACAATAGCCGTATATCAAGTAATACATGAAAGGAAACATACAGGAATATCGTATTGACTGGGAGATAAAAAAATGATACCAGTATATGTTTTAGCCAACCTGTACTGTCGATTTCTATGTCTAAGTTAAGGTTAAAAGTAGATAGTACAGTATACTTGTATCTATTGTAAATGTATTCTTCATTTCAATCCATGGAAAAGAAGAGATAAATATGGTCTTCAATCTTTCAATTTTCCTCTAAATTGCATAAAGTAACGAAGTTAAAAGAGATGCTAGTTTTATTTCATTTGTTTAAATGCTCTTGTACGATGTCCGCCTCATAAGAATGAATAAACAAGTCTACGAGAACATGTCCCTTGTTGGTTTCCATAGAAAATGTTGGCTATTTGTTGATTATCATGTCCATCAAACATAAAAAAAAAACAATCATTAAAGCATCCTGATCAGGGAAATAAACAAACGTACACAGAATAACGTGGAATCATAAAAACGCTCACGATGGTATTGGATCATAATAAAAGATTGATAGATATTTGTCAAAATGTAGTATATATTGTGGTATGTTCAAAAATATAATATTAGTAGTTCACTGAGCTTATTTGCAAGCTACAGCTTTTGAAAAAAAATACACATTTTCTTTGGATTATACAGATAAAAAGCATCATGATGTGTATAGAAGGTAAACTGAATGATAGAATTTTGAAATAAAATATGAGAAGATAGCTATTGTGAAATGCTTTTAGAATATCAAAGGAAAAAATGGGGTCACCGTAATTTCGCTCTTGCTATACCATAAAATAGAAAAAGTTTACGTGGATTCCTTTTATATAATACACATTTTCTGAGTTACCTGTATGGGTGTTGCTCATTGTTGAAAACCTTCCAGTGCCTTGTAGTTGCTAACATCCCCGTTCTTTGGTATCTGGTGAATAGCTCCATTGGCAATCATACCCTTATTTTTATATTTGAAAGCTATCGTGAAATGTTTACTTGAAGTACATGTAAACCACAAACATATGGATTGATTGAATGTTGTTTGAGTAACGTCCAGTGGCAAATATTTCGCGCATTTTCAGGACAAGAACGGGTTAATAATAATCAAATACTATATATATAGGTAGATTTGCATATAGAGTCGACTGGGACGAAGAGCGTGGAATTAAGACTTTTCTGAAAAAGAGGGTATGCTGAATATGGTCATACATGTTTAGATATTTATAGTTTATAATAAGATGTATTTTCGATTGACGCTCCTAAACGTCATTGCGTACAATTAACTTTGAATAAGTGTTGTGCAGCGACATTTCATGATCTTATAAACCATCACACATGGTTATCACGATCTTTGATGCATGTACAACATAAACTATCATAGCAGAATTATAAATTATCACTGCCTAATGATGACGAGTCGGTCGTATAATGTGAATTATCATGATCAAATAAATTATCACTAATTATGATAAAGTATAACATTTCGTAATAACTATTATACAAATATCACGCACCATCAGTTACACGTGTTAAAATTAATTATACTTTTCTTAAGGCATCTAAACATACTACCGGAATACTTTCATCTCTATCAAGTCATGTGCACGCAAATTGAGAGAAAGCCTTCAGCATCATGAAATGACACACTGCTACTTGATTTATGATATAAGACAAGCTATTCGATGATGATATAATACTACTTAACTACTATTTAACAGTCCTTCGGTCGTACAGCCACTTCACGTAGAAAACATTTAGTTTTTACCGATATAGCTACTGTTTATTTATTTTCGTTCAAAAGATTAGATTTAAAATGAAATTAGCAACTTTGGCGATTTCTTTTGTTATACTTTGCCCAGTTGTGGCGCCACCGCCTTTAGACGTTGAATTGAGAGCGAAAAAGGAGTTTTATGATCAAATGAAAGACAGTAAAGAGGACGTTTTGGATGTATTTGGTGACAATCTTATTCCAGACTCTATAGAAGATGTGATCGAGGATTCAAATACAGAAGATCCGATTGAGCTTAAAAGCGATGAATCTAGCGAATTTGTTCCCGTATCGATACCTAGTAAATTTGATAAATACGATTCCAATGAGGACGATTTCATCGATGAAGGAGAACTCATCGCCATCATTGGAGTCACAGAAAATGAAAACTTTGCTTTTAAAGCGGCGGATAATGATGGTAAAGTATATTTTTATTTTCATTGTACGTGTATTAAACTTTAATGAAAAATGAAGATTGTTTTGCAATTTTACAAGAAATCAATGTTACTTGTTCTTCCAATAAAATGATAACATGTTTTTCAGAAAGCATGTAGATATATAAATGTATTTTAAAACACGCTTTTCCTGTAATAAATTTTCAGTTTATGATATTGCTCAGGTTGGTGCCCTCCGTAAAATATTCAGTATGCCTTCGAAATATACAAATATTTACAGGGTACCAGTCTAGATATTGCTAATTTGAGTCATAAAGTTCCTAACGTTTCTACGAAATTACACATTCTGGCTTTAAAATGTATAGTCTTGAGCGTTTCCTGGTGAAGGTTAATCCAGCGGTTCGGACGCACGAACTTTACACTGTTATTTTCTTGCATAGCTGACAAGAGAGGACAACAGTTGTTTGTGAAAGTTAATTAAGTGTTGATACTCAGAAATGTTCCATGTAATCAGCTTTCCGATAGTTAATCTAAATGCTCATCTGAGTATTTTTATACATATGATTGCTTAACATGGATATTTTCTCAATTCATACAAATTGCCAGTTACGGTTTTACAATTGATTTTTTATTTGAAAGTGTGGATTTGATACGGTCGTGTTAATCGGTCGTGTTTGTGGTTGAATATTTTAACAGGGTGGTTGGCATTTATATCGGAACAAACTGTGCTCCTCTATCTATCGACTTTGTTCTTTTATTTGTATGAAGCAGACATCATATGTGAGTTTCTCAAAGCATAATGAAAGAAAACAAGCTTTATCCTTTCATTAATTGATGATTTATTACGTTATACAATAATAAATGATGTCCTCTGACTAAATAATTACTGGCTTGGTTAGTATGTTGATGATTGCACCTTTCCCGTTAAATTTGAAACTATGAATACCACTTGTACATGAAGGTATGCTTCATATATTGAGTTACATATAGAAACTGACAGTAAGCGTAAATTTTACGACAACAGCAATGATGATTAAGATTATCCCATTGGGAAGTTTTTATTTTTATGTGATAACATTCCAGCCGCACCTACAAATGACGTATAAACCTTTGACTTGCTTAGATATTCCAGGGCTTGTGTTTCCTATCACCATTAAAAGGATGATTAAAATGCAACTTCTGAAATAGGATTTTTAATAGTAAAGTTGAAGCCGTTCTTTTTTAAAGTTCATGGCTTGGTCGATCGTTATGTAATATCTGTGTCTAAATGACAATGGAAATGATCCAGTTTTCGAATCCTCACTATCGTCTTTTGATTATGGGCATTCAATTTGTCCAGCTTTCTCCTAGTCTTATAGATATATTTGCCCTCAGTCCTCGCCGTATACTTTTACTGTGAATTTAAAGTCTTCCAGTAAAGTCATCAATGAACGAAAAAAAAAAAAAAAATAGCGGAAAATCAGTGCAGTTCTTCTCATAATGTTTTTGTAGTATTATTTTCTCTTCGGAGCCATAGTCTACTGTGTTCGCTTGAACAACCTAAACGTCTAAATTGAATCATTTGTTCTCTTTGGAATCTTAGTATTATTGCGTTAAGATGTTTTTTTTCAGAACGGCTTTTAATTGCATATTCTTTTATATAACTTGATCATAAATCAAAAAAGCAGTATTAGGATTCCAAAATCTCTTTATAGCCCTCAACATCTCCAGGTGCCTGACTCAAGAGAGGAACTTCGTTAGTGGTTCTCCCGTGTCATAATAATGAGTTGTCTTCTTCTTTATAATTGGAGACTATGGTGTTGACAGCCTGTCTTTGATACTAGTATATATCGTTAATTTATTCACAACGTCGTTTTTAGGGTTCTTTTATTGTTAAAGTTTCAAATTGGTATATTGTACAGACACCTGCGCTGTCCACTGATGAAAACGGTATGTTGACCTCTGGATGTCATTTGGTTATTTGTGTTGTTGGGCTGTTGTTTTATTGACGTATACCCAACAGCCGTTAGAATTCTCAATTGATTTTTTCATATTTTTCATGTCGGGGCCTTTTATAGCCGACTATACGGTATTGGTTTTTCTCATTGTTGATGGCCGTACGGTTGCCTATAATTGCTTACTTTATTTGAACTTCGGTAGATAGTTGTCTCATCGGCAATCATACCTCATCTCCTTATTTTTATGTCATCCTTTATTCATTATTACAATGTATTATGTTGTTATTCTTTAACTAAAATATTTTTCTTAAAGAGATAAACGTTCAAGAGGTACATTGTATATACATTTCCACAGATGAAAAAATAAAATGAAAAAAGTAGTTCTTAAAGAAAATCATTATACGCAATATTAATAAGCGTTCAAATATCATGTTTGTAACAGATCGCTTGGCAACCTGCATTACACCAGACAATTTGTGCTAGCAGGTTTAGAAATTAAAATCAGCAATAAGTTTCAGACTTTTATACATTCTTTAATCTTAGAATAACATTATGTGGTAAAAATTTAATCTGTACTGCAAAAGAAATATTGTAAAAAGATTAAACCAGCATGTCTTACTACAAATTGATGAAACGTAATAACATTCTACTGCAAACCGTAAACACGAAACAGCATGAACATCTAATTAGCAGTTACATAATGCCATTTACCTTTCACTTAGAAGTGCTGTGCAAATTGTCACGAGAAAACAAAGACATCAATATGCAAAACACGTGTTGACCAAGTTTCTTGCAAGTTTAGAATTCTGTTTGATTTTATCAAGAGCTATCTAAAAGGTGTAAGTGTATTACACAGGCGCTTGGGGATTGAACCCCCTTTTTATATATATTTTATTTCATTTTTGAAAATATTCTTCAATATTTTAACCTATTTTCACTTCTATAATGTGAAAATAGGTTAAAATATTTAAGAATATTTAAAAAAAAAAAAAAAAAAAAAAAAGAAAATAAAAAATATTTCGAAATGGATGGTCCATTCCTAAAGGACCTGTGGGGTATTAAGCCAACAATTGTTAGTTTGAAATCAAGGAGAATGTAAGGTATGAAAGTAATCCGAATCAAGTTTTTCCATCTGAATTATATTGATTTTAATATTAGAATTGAATAAAAGGTGTATGTTTTTCTACTTTTTGATATAATTTCAATTTGAAATAGGGAAATGGTTGCCTCATATATGACTTATGCTGTAAATGAGTCATTATCTAATTCTGTAGTTTTTAGAATATTTTACTTAGTATAAGCTTTGTGGAAAATAGCATCATAATACAAAATACAAAACAACAACAAAAAACTTGAAATTCAAATGAGTTTTTTTCGAATAAGCTAAAACACATTACATTCATCTGCGACGTCGTCAGGTTTGAGAAAAATAATTCATTTTTTCACGACTGTTGACGTTCAAAATGAAACTTTCCGAAAGCATTCATACATGTCAAGAATGTATCCAAAAAACCTGATCAGTGTTAAAAGGAACTTTTTTTGCAATTGGGCAGTATTTTAAAAGTTGATGAAAATTCGAATTCTAGACAGATACTTTCATTGGTACATGCCTCATCAAAAACATTTTCTTTGGAAATCATGAATGTTTCTTGACTTTAATCTTTTTAGTATCTCCCCTAATGTGGATTGGATCAAGTGTTTTCAAAATTGTAATTTCTGGAAAATGTTATCGTGACTTGAATATATACTACTAAAAAAAAGGTTTAACAACACTACTTCTGTCTGGAAATGAAGTAAAACAAGATATCAATTTATCTTTAAATAATATGATTCTTAATCTTCAATCATTTGTGTAATCAAAAGTGCCTCAGTTGTGTTGGTCTAATTTCAGATAATACGGCACTATTCGTAAACTTTGAGGGAAGGGGTAAAAATTGTAAGTCGCAATTTTTATAACTGTTTAAACATGGTCTAGAAGAAAGCATACAACGCACAAAAGTGGTGAATCTGAGGGAATAATTTACTACATAGGAACAAAAACTATGAAAACAAAATTGAGAGGGCACTTCCCCCTACCCCCACCCCCACCCAAATATTTATTTTAAGTTTTTAGTTCTCTTTTTTAATCCATTCAACATCGTTCATTTCAGATCATTTTGAACATTTTCTACAAATATATTAACCCTAAAAGTTTGACCCTCATTAATTTCAAAGGAAGTTTTGCAAAACTTTCTCTGAGTAGTATATCAAGTTTTACGTAATCCTGCAGGGACATTTTTGACATCTATCTACTAGGGAAAGGCATTTCAAAGCAATTTGATTGGTATTCGTTGATTATACTTTGTGTCGTTTGCGGTATTCACATTAGTGTATTTCTGTCGTCGTAAATAACGAAAATGCTATTAATAGTGTAAATGTATGAGACAGAACATGTCGTAATCTTTATCATTTACGTAGAAGTCGGTGACAAGGGGGCACTCCCCTTTCATAAGTGTGGGGAGGAAACTGTGTCTTGCTCCTCCCACTTTTTCGCAATAAATATTATCGAAAATGAAATGAAAATAAAAGACATCATTGACCAACTCCTACACAATAAGACGATTGAAAAGATTTTTTTTTTTGCTTGTTACTATCGCCACATGTGGAGCAGGATGAAATTTGAAAAAAAGGCAGGACAGGAGTTTTGAGTAAAAAAAGGCAGGATGAGCAACTTGGCAAAACAAATTCAGGATGACAATTTATGTAAACAAAAGTCAGGATAAACTAATAAAAAAAAGGCAGGACCGAATAGAGTGAAAAATAAAAAGGCAGGACAGAGATTACAACTAAAAAAAAATGCAGGACAAAATTTTTCATCCTAGCCCCCCATAAAAATCGAATGGTAGCTCCCTTAAAAAAAACCCGATTTTACCAATTGTGTTGGTGCGATAGTTCGAAAACGTGTTACTGTAAGATGATGTAAACTTCATATATACGTAGTAATGAATCAAAACACATAACAGTTAGAACTACGGGTACTGCCAGCAAAGCTAAAAAATTATACCTGCCCTTTTTATTCGTCTTTATCAAACAAAATATTGACCTAG